CGGGGAGTGATCTCGGCGTGCCGAGATGTTTAGCCCTGTACGTAGCGACCTCCGGACATTTCAGTAGCACGTGGGCCACCGTTTCTTCCTTCCCCATACATGCCCTGCACAGGGGTCTATCTGTAACACTTATAGTAGATAAATGTTTGTTAAAGGTGCCGTGTCCTGTGATAGCACTTGTTACTATCCTGATCTGCAGCTTGTTCAGTCTCATTAAAACTTTGGTAAAGCGATTGTTTATTTCAGGCAGGGCCTCCCTAGCTTGTCTGCAGTCTTTTTTTTATAGGAGAGGGGGCAAACGAGCATGCGGCTCACCTGATGGTAAGTGACTACCGCCGCCCATGAACAACTGCAACACCAGGGAGAGAATTGCAGATGCGTTGCCGGCCTTTTAAAAAGGAGTACGCTCTTTTCTTGAAGGTCCCTAAGTCGTATCGGTCCGGAAAAATCGCTGATGGTAATCGATTCCACAAGGAAGTCGTGCGAGGAAGAAAACATCTTCTAAATCGCACAGTGGTGGACCGCCAATCATCCAGATGGTGTGGATGGTATCGGGAGTTCTGCCGCGATGTGCGTTCGTGAAATTTGGCGGCTGGGATTAATCCGAACAATTCCTCAGAGCACTCCCCATGGTAGATGCGAAAGAAAATGCAAAGGGATGCAACATCTCTTCGCAGTGCCAATGAATCGAGCCGATCGGAAAGCGCTCGGTCGTCGACGATTCGAGCCGCTCTGCGCTGGATGTGGTCAAGTGGAAGGAGCTGGCACTGGGGAGCCCCTGCCCAGAGATGGGAACAATATTCCATGTGCGGCCGAACCTGCGCCTTGTAAAGTTGTAGGCGGTGTGCCGGCATGAAATACTGTCCCGCTCTGCTGAGCACGCCAAGCTTTTTAGAGGCCAATTTGGCCTTCTCTTCCAAGTGACCACGAAACTGCACGTCACTCGATATGTCGACTCCGAGGATACCGATACTGGCTGAGGCAAGAAGGGGAGTACCTTGAAACTGAGGAGATACGACAAAGGGGTTCTTTTTAGCGGTAAACGCGCAAACTTGTGTCTTCTGAGGATTAAACTGGACTAGATTTAGTCCCAATCCGAGACTTTGTTCAGCAGACTCGACTTCAGACACAAGTTTGTTCCGGTACTCAGCGACGTTTTCCCGAGAAATATTGGCACGGCCGGTGTATAGAGCATCACCAGTGTTGTCATCCGCATAGCAATGAATGTTACTAGTTAGCAACATATCATTGATATGTAGAAGAAACAGCGTTGGTGATAGCACACAGCCTTGTGGAACACCAGCGTTAATAGGCTTGTAGTCAGAACATGCACCGTCTACAACGACCTTGATGCTCCGATCTGCAAGGAAGCTGGTGATCCAATTGCACAATTTCTCGGGAAGCCCATAGGAAGGGAGCTTCGAAAGAAGCGCTTTGTGCCAAACCCGATCGAAGGCCTTCGCAATGTCCAGACTAACGGCCAACGCCTCCCCCTTGGACTCTACTGCCTCCGCCCATCTATGGGTCAGGTAGACCAGAAGATCACCAGCTGATCGACCCCGACGAAAACCGTATTGGCGATCACTAATCAGCTGGTGATCCTCAAGGTACCGGATGAGCTGGCAGTTAATAATGGATTCCATTATTTTGGAGAACAAGGAGGTGATCGCGATAGGCCTATAGTTGGACGGGTCTGAGCGATCGCCTTTTTTAGGGATCGGGTGGACAAAAGCTGTCTTCCATGAATTCGGGACTACGCCTTGGGAATAGGAGTACCGGAAAAGACGCGTTAGGACCGGTGCCAACTCCGGAGCACACGTCCTCAGCACAATTGGGGGGGATTCCGTCAGGCCCACTCGACTTCTGGCTGTCCAGGGAGAAAAGTGCTTTGCGAACCGAGCGCTGTGATAACAGCACATCCGGCATGGAACACTCACACCGCGGGATGGTCGGCGGTGTTTTCCCCCCGTCATCAAGAGTCGAGTTGGACGCAAAACGGGAGCCTAAAAGGTCGGCTTTCTCTTTTGCGTCGTGGGCCAGTGAGTCGTCCTCCCTGTGCAGAGATGGTAGTGATGGCTTACAGAAATTCCCTTGGACAGCCTTGGCGAGAGACCAGAATGCACGGGTTACCGAAGGAAGGCGAACTAGTTTCTCGCCAATTCTGCCTATGTGCTCTGACTTTGCCTTGGCAATAACTCTTTTGAAGGACCTGGAGGCGAAGTTATACTTCTTTTTAAGTATGCTGGTGTTTACATCCCGAGTCGCCGAAGCCGCAGCCCAGGCTTGATAACACTCCTGCTTACTGCGTAATGCAGTCTTACAGGAGCGACCAAACCAAGGCTGAGATCTGCCTCCGATGGGTACCACAGATGATGGAATAAATAGTTCCATTCCCTGTAGCACCACATCAGTGACAGAGTCAGCAACAGCGCTGGGATCATCCGGCGAGAAGTAAACCCGCCCCCATGGGTAGGATGCAAAGAATGACCGCATTCCGTCCCAATCCGCCGACCTGTAATGCCAAACACGGCGGCAACCTGCAGAACGCAACCGCGAAGGGAGCGTGAGTGGCACCACACTCCGGATCAAACAATGGTCCGAAGAGCCGAGAGGGGCATCGCCGGAAACCTGATATCCATCCGGATGAGAGGTCAGCAGAAGGTCCAACAGGGAAGGTGTATGAGCCTCCACATCTGGAATACGCGTAGGCGAAGTAACCAGTTGTGTCAGACCATATGCCAAGGCAAAGTCATAAACAGATCTCCCCGCATGATCGGTTAAACGTGAACCAAACTATTCGGCATGGTGGGCGTTAAAATCGCCAAGGATAACGATCTCTGCGGATGGGACCTGTTGTAGCAAGGAATCTGTAGCCATTTGGACGTGGTCGATGAGTCGGTCTGTTTCGGCATTACCGCTATGGGACCTATAGAGGCACCCGTAGACGCGCGGATGGTCGTCGCTGTCTACGCGTAGCCAAAGGATGGACAGGTCCGAACCTTCAAGACTGCCGAGGCGTCGAGAACAGATGTCTTCTCTGACATACATGCAAACTCCAGCCCGAGGCACAAAGGAGTGCTCCAATTTGTAGCCCGGGTAGGAGAGATACGAAATATCAGCCGGAGAGGAAACCTGCGTCCCGGTCAGAAAGAGCAAGGCCGGCTTCGCCGTCTCGAGATTGTAGTAGACGGCGTTTAGGTTAGAGTGAAGTCCCCTGATGTTGCAGAAATTCACGGATAGCGTGGCAGGGGTCGTCTTGGTATTGTTGCTCAGTTTGCCCTGAGCAGTTATGTTTTTGAGCGGAATTTTGCCCCCCCCCCCTCCCCAGAATACGCGGGGCAGCCTGAGCACTCACGCTCAGGATTGGAATAACATGGTCGTGGATGCTCAGTGAGGGATTCTCCAGGGGTACTGGTACCCTCCTGGGGTAGGTTATCGTGTAATTCCGCTACCATGTTGATGGGGGGGGGGGGGGAATTGGAATTGGAATAGTCTACTAGATTTTTCCAAAGCTGAGTGTGTTGATTAGTGAAGTGTCTACATACCAGTGAACGAATGTTACCAAAGGGGATTGGTATGATTGGTTCCGGCCTTATAGTGGCCAGAGCCCATCCTCTTCTGGCCAGTTCGTCTTCTGCATTGTTACCTCTGGATCCACTGTGTCCCTTTATCCATTGCAGAGTCACATTGTTGTTTTTATATACCTTATTTAATTGTTGATGGCATTCATATATTAGTCCTCAGTTAACCTCATTGCAACTCAGAGCTTGTAGTACTGCCCTACTGTCGGTCAGTATTATGATGGGGTATTCATTAACCTTCCTAGCATCTATTGCTACGGCCTACATTCCGCCTGAAAGACTGTGTTATAGGTACCCAGCGGTGTGCATATGTGGATATTGAGGTCTTCAGAGAAAGTTCCAGAACCTACACCTTCATTTGTTTTAGAACAATCGGTGAAAACTCTAAGCTCTTTTGGGCTTAATCCTTCTGGCTGGCTGGTTTCATTTAATTGTATCTTGTACTTCTTATCGAAACCACATTGTTTAGGAATCTTATCGTACTTGGCTTGTAGGATAATAATTTTTGAGTGAATTCTATCAATTATACCTGTATGAGGGACACTGTTCTTACTCCAAAGATTTAGGGTCTTGAGTCTGATGGCAACTAAATACCAAATAAATACAACTTATACAGTCTCATTTGGTTAAAGACTGTGATTCAAGCCAGGTAGGTCGCTAAAGAAGAGTATCAATATCAGTTGTTCAAGCAGTCGTAATTTATAAAACTTACTTATTGCATAATAAACCAACTTACTTATTGCATAATAAACCAACTTACTTATCGCATAATAAACCAACTGCACCACCAGTGCACTTAGATTCCGAAATCATTTGCAGAAATGTATTTTTTCAAACAAAACCAAAATGATTGAACGTCTGACGTCTATCTATTTTGACCAGTAGTCATCTGTCAATGTTATTGACTTTTTTTTGCGTGGCACAATGCTGATTTGGCCAATAAGAGTACAATAGTATTGCTATTTTAAATGAAAACTGATGATATCACTGTACCCCAGTTGCTTGTGACATATATTAATCTGAGATATATTTAAATACAAACATTTTCATAATATATTTGAGTTTATGACAACTTTTGAAATAGGTATTGTGCAATCGGCTAAATCACAGGAGGGCATAAACACAGCACATTAGTATTAAAAATAGGTACAAAGTTCAAAATCAAAAAAGTCCTTTTTATTTTGATTTCACAATTCAGAAGTGTCCGTTACTATCTAATGAATGTTATCTAATGCATAATTAAGGATAAGAATTTTGGTAATTGTCAAATATATGTTGGTTTTTAGGCGAGTTTAAGCAATGTCCTTTGATTTTCATTTAAACAACAATGCTAGAGAGAGGTTAAATAATATCATAATAATTTATCACATGTACAGAAATTTTAGAATATCTACAAATTGCAACAAACAATATACTTACAATTGTGTGCATTAATGCTGATGAAATGAGCAGAAAGACATGCGAAACATGTATAAAATAAATCATATATATCTTCATGGTTCTGGAACTCACTTTCACTGAAAAAAAAAAGAAGTTATTGTTACATACTTTTTTATTTTTGTTTATTTCATTACATTTAGTAACTCAGTAGAAAATGCATTAAATGTAAGTACTACCTACCTACATACAATAATTTACAAAAATATTAAAAAAACTATTTATTATACATTATATTTCTTAGGTATACTAAATTACTAAATGGTATTACATTTAGTAGTACATTTAGCCATTATCATACCTTTCATTCCCTTGAATCCTCCAAGATTCAAGGGGATGAAAGAGTGACTCGTCATAGGATACAGACAACCTGAAAGTAACCATTTCTAATACAAAATAAAAACTAATTATTTTTAACTGCTATAACTAAAATTATTTAAAAATGTAAACATACAAACAAGAATTCATACAAATTTTAAGATATTTTTAGAGATATTTTGACAGCAAATATATTTGTATATCTTTTCAACTTTGTGTTTATGGAAGAACCTACTATAAAATAATAATTTATTACTGATATAAGCATAATAAAAAAGATTATAATAAAATGGGGGTAGTTACTCCATGTTATATTTGCATTTGTAAAACTTATTAGATCAATAAATTGGAAAAATTTGAGCGTTGGTTAAATCTAAATGATTTATTAATTAGTTTTAAGAGTAAAAGGTGATGAAATAAGAATTGAGGACAAATATAAATACAACAAAACAATAAATTTCTCACATTCTGTCAAAAAGAAGAAATAATTATAATCACCACATTCATTTTATAGTGATTAAATGATAATAAAATTTAGATTTACACTTTACAGTTAAGATTTATAGCGTATAATTACAGAATACAATGAATATAATCCAATAAATGCTGATTAACGACGGAATAGACCGTCATATTATTAGCAAGTAAAATATATATTGGAGATAGATGTTACCTTATTAGTATAGATTGAATAATTTCCACTGCATCATTTTTGTCGAAAAATGGACCATAAAGTGCCGTTAAAATTGGTTTAACAGTAGTAGACCATTCTATATTAGCCCCCGATGCGGCCATTTTCGAGAATGATTATCTATCGCAAATTGTCAAAATAAATGAAAGTTGATCAGTGTGACTAGTCTTTATTTGACAAATTTACTAAGCAGAAAAGCAAAAACCTATCAAATTCTACTAACCGTATTTTAAAATAAGTAGTTTAATATATTTTTGTTTTTTAATTCTTAAAGCATTTCACTTAATAACGTCGCTAAATATAATTCGTTCGTAATTTGGTAGCTATAATAAATGAAACCCAATTCACACATATAAACTGTCTCCTACACACAAGCAGCTAGCTGAATACCAATGTGTTGTTAAATGGGGAAGAACTGAGCCCTGTTGAATCCACTGTTTTTCTTGGCATAGCTCTCGACGCAAAGCTTCAGTGGGGTCCCCATATATCCAAACTAACAAGCAGACTAAGTTCTGCAACCTGTGTTGTAAAAAAGATTAGAGGTCTCTGAATGCGGTCTTTCTTTGCATCCTACCCATGGGGGCGGGTTTGCTTCTCGCCGGATGATCCCAGCGCTGTTGCTGACTCTGTCACTGATGTGGTGTTACAGGGAATGAAACTATTTATTCCATCATCTGTGATAGCCATCGGAGGCAGATCTCAGCCTTGGTTTGGTCGCTCCTGTAAGACTGCATTACGCAGTAAGCAGAAGTGTAATCAAGCCTGGGCTGCGGCTTCGGCGACTCGGGATGTAAACACCAGCACACTTAAAAAGAAGTATAACTTCGCCTCCAGGTCCTTCAAAAGAGTTATTGCCAAGGCAAAGTCAAGAGCACATAGGCAGAATTGGCGAGAAACTAGTTTTCGTGGCGGGAAAATTTGAACGTAGCTCTTTTTTTTGGGGGGCTATTTGAGGTATCGAGGGTAGGTTTTTTTGGTTGCCTATCCCAGCGCTGAATAAAGGAACAATAAATTACAGTTTTCTATTTATTTATTCAAAATACAAATTAAAATTAAAAAATATACAAAACTTAAAAAAAGTACTTTACAAAACTGGTGTTTTAGGTATAAATTATAGAAATGTTTCCTTTCCACAACATGTTCTACCCACTAATAACCTATATGAGAAAAAGATATGAAAGCATGTACCACCATTTCTCATATTTTTCTTTTTATAAGTCTGGACCCAAAGGGTGTTATCAGGACCGTAATAATAAGCCTACAATGTCTGTCTTGTAGACTTAGTATTACAGTCCTGATGGAATGTGACCACCATACATGCGGCATCGCCGACGCGACCAGTATTTGTATGCTGGCTACCTAATAGCAGGTGGTTCTAAGGTACAAAAATACATTTCTCGAACATGCAAAGACAAAATTTTTCCAGCAACTTAGTTCTTCTTAACTTAATTCATTACAAAATGACGCCAGTTTTACTGTAGGATTAGACATAAACATTGCAAGAGTAATTGATTTTCAATAATTCTTTTCTCAAAAAATTACGCGTTTCCGCGTGTTGAAACTTTGTGTGTGTGCTTATAATAGTGTAACTTTTCTGTAAAAATGCTAAGCCTGCTACTCTTTGGCAGGAAACAAATATTTCGCCCACAATGTACAGCTGAAACCAAAAAATATTATTATTAAATATGAATATTATGAAAGTAGTTCCAGTGGTTTACTAACCAATAATCTGTTTATAGATGGTTATGAGAAATAACAATGTTGTCTACGGCCGGACGGCCGGTGAGCTGCCGCACTTAAAACACTTGCTTCTATTTTTTTTATCCGCCATTGCACAGCACGGTTTTTAGAGTCACTTTCTAGTATTTCACTGCGGATAGTGTATAATACTTTGCACAACACAAAACGGAGAAAATAAATCTTAATTTGACGTCCTAAGTTAGTAAACTCGTAGAAAAGGAGATACAATCCAAACAAAAACTACGAGCAACCTTGAACGACAATAATGCAACGGCCAACGCATGAAGTTATAGACACAAAAAAAAAAGAACATTTTTTTCCTTTTCTGTCAATGATATGTTAATATAAAAACGCAAAAAAATGTGGCAGAGATAGTAATCTTCATAAGAAAAATTTAAAATTTGAGAGTTACTAATTCATCTTTAGCAAAATATTAATAATTGTTACACGGGACTTGTACGAAGTACATGTATTTCCATGCACGGGACATTTATCTGACAAATGGGTCTGTGTGTGGTATATAGTCATACCCCATTTAGACTCTCGCCTCGCGTCTCGCCTCGTACCTCGCCTCGCAGCTCACGTGTTGTTGCGAGGTAACGAGTGCCTGTTTACACTCTCGCGATGCGTTCAGTTTGCGTTGATCCAGCAACGATGGAAGACGTCGAAATAATAGCGGCATCAACTCTTGCCTTACTAAATATTGGATAAGGAAATTAAAAAATTTCATAGATTTTTTCAAAGATTTCATAGATTGCTTTTTTTCTTCGTAGGTGTTGACGAAGAGTTCTGCTAGCGGTCTGCACATAACCTCGGAAATTCCATTCCACGCGTCATTTACTTTTTGGGTATTTTTATGCATAATATGTTTTGGATCCCAAATTATTCGCTCAGCCTGATAGAGTTCCAAGAACTGTAGCATTTCTTCTTGCGACCAGTCCATTTTTAATTGAAGTCGAACGTGTAAACCCAACAAAACAACACAACCTGCACGGAAGGGCACCGTAAACAAACTGAAACGAGAGCGCTGTAAATGGGGTATAACAAACTATATAGAAAATTTAGAACATTATTTTATTAATAAAATGATACGTTTTATGTGCTTCCATCTACATTCCGAAGCGCTAGACTAGACTTATTTTAATCTCACTAGAGGGCACTTATATATTAAGTCTATGCATACGCAATAATCCACGCGCACTACGCAGTTAGTAGCGGTCACTGGTTACGCTTAAATTGTTATTAATATTTATTGAACATTATTAATTTTTAGAAAACGCCATCTTATCTGTGTTTTCAGGCAAGGAAAAACTGCTAAAATATTATTAGAATACGAAGGTAAATTTCGCCACATCGCACAAGGTTATAATAGCTCAGGTGGATAACAGGGCGGTCCCGAAGTCTAAAGACCCCAGCTCGCGTCCAGCAGATGTGTTTATATTTTCCCTTTTTTTCAAGTTCCTTCTTTTGTAAGCGCCGTCTGTTCTGCAAAGCACGACACTAAAGAAAATTAAATTTGAATCGCGCATCTATGTCTAGTATATATACAGTAATCTATGGTTCAGACGGACGTACCGGGAGTAATAGGGTTCTGTCATAGACATAGTATCTTATAGACTACACATTCAGTGACGTCATCACCGTGTGAAAGGAATGCACGTATATAGTTAGACATAAGAGTAAGGGAGAAGCAAATCTATATTTCTTGTCTTTTTCTAGGTATGCGTTTTTGATTGTTTTCCCTCCTTTATTTGACATTAACGATGTCAAGCTCTTTTGAATAATATTGATATTATAAGCAAACACGTAATTGAATTTAGTGTTTTTTGTGGGTCTTAGTTATTAGGTAAGGTGAAAAAGATGGTAAGTTGTAGCATTTTAGGATGCAACAGCAACAGTCAACGAAAAATTGATAATATTACCTTTCATCGGTAAGTTTGTATTGTGCTTACATTTGCTACTTGTACTGATTAATATCTATTGTTTTGAATATAAAGTGTAACATTTCATGTGTTAAATGAAATTTGTGATGTATTTTGTCAAATATTTGGACTCCCAAATTGTAAATTCTTCATGATAATGCTCCTTAATTTGAACGGTTATTCGAAACCTTAAAGTCATAACAAACGTGTAATTTTTGATTTGGTAGGATTATAGAAACGTTAGGGATATCAGCGAGTACAATAATGTTTTCGCATTGTTCAATAATAATTGTTATTGTGATTAGTAGTTTTGTCCATAAATATGAATCACATAATGTTATACATATACATACACTTTTATGTTCAGCTTTAAAGGAAATTCCTTATTGCCCTACAACTCTTCAATCATTTTCCATATTACATAGACGTCACAAATAATATATGTATGTATATGTAAGAATCAACCTGAAAACATGTTTGGATTCAAGTACATAAACATTGGGCAAAGTATATTTAATTTCACAAAATATGTATTGCCTGAAATCAGATGCACAAAACTTTATTGCATTCCATTAATTCTATTATACATTAGCAACAATTACATTACAATATTTATTAAAAAAATAAATAAATATGTCATACTAATATAAAAATAAATATAAACATAGATAAAATAATAAATAAATAGATAAGTCTTAATCATAAGGTACACAATAACACAACAACATAAGATAATATTCTCGATTAATAATAATGATGTAGAAAAAAATTGATTATAATATACTCACCGTTACCATTAGTCAGTATCAAAAGTCAAAAGTTATAGGTTTTGTGATAGTTGCCTAGCTTGGAGAATTGGCAACTGCAGTTATTTGGAGACAAACGTGTGGGAGGTCTATGTTCAGCTGTGGAGGACATAACTATGTTAGGCTGTAAATGTATTAATTAACAATATCTAAAGCTTAATATGTACATAATTTTTTTAAATATTTGGTATGAGTAATTGTATCATTACATTTACATATACTTGCTATTTAATTAAATCAATTGATAATGTATTAATTGTTATAGGTATTATATTTATGCACAGATACCCATACTTGATTTTTTTTTTGTTAAATGCCTTGATATAAAAGTGTACTATATATTTTATATATTAATTTCTTTTAAATATATTATTTCACAGCTTTTCTAAGGAATCAGCTATCCGTAACTGTTGGATAATCGTTACTGGTAGTAATTATAGGTAACCAACAAAACTTAGCAGTATATGCTCAAAACATTATGAGCCTCATTTTTTTAGGTGGATTAAATATACTTAACTTATGTAATTTATAATATAATTAAGATATTTTTTTAAATGTTATAATTTCTTGTTGTATCTTGTTGTTTCTCCATAAGTGATATAAGTTTCACGTTATTAGTAGTTATGATTTTTGACA